TGAATTTTATCAAATTTAAAAATAAGCCATTGGATTTGGTAGAGTTTGGTGAAAACTACTCTTTTGTTCATTTTTCACCAAACCCTACCAAATCCAGCGGCTTATTTTTAAATTTGATAAAATTCAACACTAGTTTCGGATAGAACAGATAAAACTGGTTATGTCTAACACAAAAGTTTGCTAAAGTTTAGGATTTTAAATATCAAAAATATGCAACCTTTGAGACATAGTCGCAGGTTTGATGCATCCCTAGTTGCCACTATGCTCAGCGTAGTCGATTACCTATATTCCGTGGCATTTCGAGACTCTTAGAGATGTCTGCTCGAAGATAGACACGCGCTCGGGAAAAGCGAGCCCTGTCCGCACGACGATAGCTGGAGAACTGGGACTTACATAATTTTGTAGAATAACGTCCGGACTACCTTTTCCAAAGATCCTTTAGAAAATCGGACTTCCAGAAAGTTCTGAAACAGGTTTCTGCTTACAAAAACATGACTTAAGGTCTTAGCAACATGTTGGTGAAAGCTGCAGGTCTCTATCTCATTCCTATCTAAAATTATTCAAAAAAATAACCGTGTGTCTTGACTTCCGGCGTCGATAGTAGATGAGATTTTTTCTGAGACGTTATACCTACAGTTGCATAATTGTCTATGGAAAAAATGATGTACTAGGTTTCTCTTCTTCTTTATTTCAGTGAAAATGGTTTGACGTACTAGAAAATAAGACTCTTTCGTCAAGCCCATGATGGCAACGAACATCAATTTCATCAACGGCTCAGGTAGTAAAGATTAAGCATTTCAATGAAGCAAAAATTTTTTTTATTTCAAAAAGGCATTCAGTTTAAAAATGATAAAAAAGCTATGATGAATAGTTTTGAAAGTTCGCTCGTTGTGCTCGATTGCTCGATGTAATATATGCATTTGAACTGCTAAAATGAGGTGACGTGTATGTTCCCCTTTCAGAGCATTGCTGCATTGACATATTAGTCATATAGGCCATGAACTTTTGTTTATCATGCTCAAATTTTTTAATACTTGTATTCAAATCTTCAATTAGACTTTGACATAAAGTATCTTGCGACGATACGGATGCGTTTATTTTATCAATAACCGCCTGTAAAACAGCTGTAGCTTGATCCATGCTGCGTTGTTCCACATACGCAACAGCTTCTTTCATACCTTTTGCAGCATTTATACGATTTCGTTGCACATCCAGATCGTAGTTGACTTCGAGCAATGTCTTATCATCGATGACATTTGAACGGATGAGTCTCAAAGGTGTAAGTTCAGAGGACAACATTTTCTGACTTGACGGATCAATATATTTCACTGATGCTGTTCCTATTTGAGTGTTCTCCGCATCTTCCTCATTAACTGTCGGTACATGAATTTCAAATACGAGATTTCGTTTCTCGTCTTCGTTCAAATCATGTATTTTTATGGTGACACATGAACTTGGGATAGCTGAAGTAGGAAATGTTGAATGAACTTTAGCAACACTATAACCATTTTCCAGCTCAATTTTGACTTCAATATTTTGCGCAATACACGAAAATAGACTGCCCAGTGTGTGTGACAATGAATCACCGACCGATTTCAGTTCATCAATATAGGTAAATGTGCCCGATCCAATTTCCGCTATTTGAGATAGAACACTGACTCGATGATCACTGCCGAATCCGTATGTGTGACATGTTGTTGATGGTGGAATCGCACTCATAATGTCGGTATACGATATCACTTCAATGTCTTGACCATCGGTTAGCAGAAAGATGGATGACAAAGAATTTTTTGTTTGACGTTTATTGAGAACATCGATACCCATTTTCAGACCACGACCAATTGATGTACTTCCGCTAGGGTTTAATTTTTCGTGTGAGTGGATTCGATTTTCCAGCGTCTGTTTTCCTTGTTCATTCATCATCATGAGACCACTAACTGGATAGGCGGTATCATTAAACGAGACGATAGACAGACGATCGGTCGATTCTAGTTGAGTGACGATGTAACTCAACGTTTGTTTCACTAATGACATTTTATTTCCGTTCATTGAACCACTCCGGTCGACGATGCACACCAGATCTAACGGGACTCGTAAAATAGCATTTTCACCGTCGGACGATGCTGGAGCTCGTAGTGTCAACAGGCCATAAATGTCTTTTTCTTCAGTTGACACTACACCACCAACTTCCAATGTCGTTTTTGTCTCAATTAGCCTTGGCGAAGAAACAATCCGAGAAGCTCGGACCTCTGATAGTGTACGAGTTCGGTCCTCGTCAACAGGATCTTCCATAGGTATTTCAACTTCCTAAAGTAGCAAGGATGGTGTTACTTCAGAAATATCGTGTTTTTGATAGGAAGATATATTGTAAAGGAGACTGGGATAATGGGCCAGACGGTCTTCGAAAAACAGACAAATTTTTGAAATTTAAGTCTGTTTTTAATCTAAAATGTTAGTCGGACTAGGTGTGTGAGTGGTAGTATTTTGCAAAACCGTATGGTTTAGTGTTACTTACCATTACTACAGGTGTTGGCGGTACTACTGGTGTTACGATATTGATCAATGAGTCCATTTTTAATCGACATAATGGGCACTCATTGTTTTGTGATTGAACCGATTTTATTATACAGTCGAAGTGGAACTGGTGGTTGCATGTCGATGTAAATAGAGCTTCCCCTTGTAACATTGGATTTAAACAGATTGAACACACCACATCGTTTTGATTAGATGATGATGACATTCTTGTTATTCTTCAAATTAGTTTTGCTAAATATTGCGCAGCTAAAAGCTTTTAATTTCTTCCGAAATTAAAGTATAAGATAGTCTACACGTCGATCGATCGATTTTTATTTATCTTACAAATAGTTTTTACTAGTAGTGATACGATAAAAAAATTGAATATAAAAGTCACTTATAGTTCGAATTCTATCCTCTCCCTTTCGACAGTCATATTTATATAATACTCAAAGCTGTTATCTTGATTTTTTCCTTTATACTTCATCATAGACATGAATTGCTCAATCAGCCGTCATCTGTGTAGAATGACTAATTCCATTCGTCATGCATATTGCTCTTTCACTCTTTCTTCATCACTTGAACTGAGTGCCTTTTTCTTAACTCTTTCCGTTGTGGTGAAAGAATGTTTTTCAAAACTTGCTTTATGTTTTACCTTTGGTAACTTACCCATATGGAAAAAGTTCTTTTACTGCAGCGGAAAGGGTTTTCCAGCTCGACCTTTTTTTACTGGACTGCAAATGGTGGACTACAATGTGTGATAAGTTTCAACATGAAATTCAAAACTCCGATTTTGCTTGAAATCCAGATGGCATGGGGAAAATTCGAGTAAAAATTCGATATCTCAGCAGCAAAGCCGATTGCGCCCGAACCAAGTTGGAGTTCTTCATAGTCCACGAGGGTCTACATTTTAAGAATAGGCCCATTCAAAAAGGTTTTTAGCACCTCTGGAGATTCCCTTGTAATCCATCCCTACCTTGTTACATATTCATTCTATTGAAAATACACTGCTACTGTTATTTTTCTCTTTCCAAAAGAATGAATTTTTCATATTATTATGAAGAATCAGAGATAGTCATGTCAGAGGTTTTCCCTTAGCTCTAGTCGAACCGTACAAGTTTTGTCAAAGAACAGTCCCAGCTCGAACAGAATGTTTGCTAAATCCAGACCCCTTCCGATCATGAGTGATTTTTGACTTAACTTCACAGCTTTTTGTAAGCCCATATTTTTTGTCCAGCTAGATCAGTTCTGAGAAGCGACAATTTTATCTTCAATTAGACCCATAGAAAAAGAAAAAATGCTTTGAACACTAAAAAGAAAACATTTACACCTCAATGGAAATTATAAAATATTCAACTGGTTGTTTTAATGCAGAAATCCGGTAGAAATAGTCATCTGCGAAAAACAGTGATGTTTTTTCTTTTCTTTTCTTATTCATGTTATATATATACTACTTAGTCGACGTTCTTGAAATTATTCTTTGAGGATTCTTATATCTTATAAATTTTTGAAGAAATCTTGGCTTTTTTTTTCTTGACTATTCTTGTCTTGGGTGTTCTGTCAAGATTCTTTGAGATTTTTCGTATATCTTTATATATAGGGAAGCTACACACGTGTCAGACAAAACGCAGAACTTAGTTCATGAAGACAGACAGTTGACATAGTGATACACTCTAGTCAGTAGATAGTTAAGGCTTTTGCGATAGACGAAAATAACCTTATTGAAAGGTTAACCCAATGTATGAAAGAGGAGCTTAGTATGCGCATTTAGTCTTTCATGATTTCACATTTTTGTCTTTTAGGTACTGTTGTTTTTATTCTCCATCACATTATCTAATTTGTTCTTTTTATTCTGTTTTAGAATCTCCTTCATCTGTTGACGAACTATTATATTCTTCTGTATCTCTTCGCGAGTTTCACAAATCTCTTCTACACTTCTGTAACAACTGTCATCTTGACGAATTAAACGTTATAAAACGCTTAAAATTAATCTCATATTATCCCTTACAAATTAGTAATAACCCATTCAAGGCTACTACTAATTAGTAGTTCATATGTTCACTGGAATTGTTTAATTGTCTATTTATTTGTTTGGCACTAAGATCGACAACAGGAAAAGATTTACTCACATACTAACATTCTCTTGTTAAAAAGGCTGCTTATGACTGTAGATAGAAACTTTTTCTTCGAAAATTACAAGTTTCTATTTGTGATCATACCTGCACAAATGAATTAATATTACAAGAACGTATAAAGATTTTCAAGAAACGATAAATTCATGATTACTGAAAGAACCAATCAGATTTTTTTTCTTTGCAAGATTTTGAAACGAAAAATTGTACACATAGATTCCTTCAAGAATTTATAAAACATAAGAATCCTTAAAGAATAATTTCAAGAACGTCGACCAGTATATATAGTGTGTATGCACGGTAAAACACGGTGTTGTTGTCTTCTTTTTCTCTCCCTCATTCCATTACAAAGAAAAGAAAGAAAATTACTATTTTTTTCAGCTCTATTTTTTTTCTTTTGACATCACACTGGTCGACGTTCTTGTCGGTATTCTTGCAAGATTCTTGTCTCTTGCCATTTCAGACAAGAATCCTCAGTTTTGTCTTGATAGATCAGACATGATTCTTCTTTTAATTCTTTACTGATTTTTCATCGTTTTTGGTTAAAGATTCTTGTCTGAAGTGGCAAGATTTGTTGACGATAAAATCATCAATTTGTTTTGTCGATTCCCCTGCTATATATAAGTTACATAGTATAGCTCAATACTATACATATAGATGTCTTTAAAAAGTCTTTTAAATCTCATAAGATTCTTGTCAACAGACAATCGAGTCTTTACATGTGCCTGTATTGGCATCAGAGCGTCCAGCTCCTATATATATGAAAAGAAAAAGAAAAGAAGACGAAAAATGGATTATATATGCATTCTATTTATTTGCAGGATTCTTTCAAGAATTATAAGACAAGATTCTTGCAGGAAAAGATGAAACAAGAATCTTGCAGGACATCGCTTTCTTGTGCATTCAGACAAGAATTCGTCTCGCGATTCTTGTATGAACTGACAAAAAAGCGATTTCCTGCAAGATTCTTGTGATAAAAATACATGTAAAATATTTTACAAGATACTTGTCTGAAATGCCAAGAAACAAGAATCTTGCAAAAATACCCACAAGAACGTCGACCAGTGCATATATACAACTTTTTTTCTTTCTTTAAAGTAAGCAGTATAACATATATGGTCGAAGAGAACAGCAAAATAAAAAATAATGAATTCAGCTATCTTATAGTCTTGCACGTATGTTATGAATAAGCACATGCAACTGTTTGTTTTTTTATCCGTTTAAAAGATTCTGTCACGTTAGCGTATTTGTCTACGAATGTCGAAAGATTCTTTAATTTGTCCCATCACATTTGAAGTATTTCGAGATCCAGTGGTCGCTGAAGATGGACACACATACGAGAGACAAGCAATTACTGATTGGATAAAAAAGGATGGTACAAGTCCAATTACCCGTCAGAAGTTAACGATTGATACACTGCGACCAAACTATACGGTTAAAAAGATCGTAGAAGAAATTGAAAACAATCAACAGCAAAAATCACATAAAGTAAGTACTCTACATTATTATGAGCTGTGTAAAAACAATGTACGTTACTTTTAGATTGAAAACTCTAGCCATGAATCAACAGGTTAGATTGCTAAAATGTAACATAAATATTATTTACTATAGTCTAGGTGTCTTCAGCTCAAAATGATGATACCAAAATACCATGCGAATTCTGTGATGAATTAGTAGAACTTAGTAAATATGAAACGCATACGGTATGTAATAAAAATATGGAAGGAAAATGTTGATAAAAGAATTTTTTATTTAGAATCGTTGTTTTCAAAAAGAAACAGATCGAACAGATAGTAGAATGCAGTAAGTGGCATAAAAAAATTATCCGCTGTATATTCTGTCCGTTACATATATTATTTAGATTAATACCGTCAGAAAAATTTACTGAAATGGTGCTATGTGAGAATTGTAATCAGTCTTATGATGTTTCACATTTGGACCAACATAAAGTGAGTATAAAAACGTTCCTTTCAATTTATGTAACGATTTGGTCGCAGGTAACGCTATCACCCATTTTCAGTATCAGCGATTATTTATTCATACTGGTGCATAGAAATAAGAGCAAATGTTGTATTATTTAATATATTTTGATGGCTTCAATAAGTAGGGTACACAGTTCTGGGGTCCTAGTTACTATTCAAATATCACAATGTTTCGGTAGCGCGATGACAAAAGTCGAAGTCCTCAAATGTAGCTAATACTGACTAGAGTGCTAAATAGCGAACTTTTACTTTAACGCGCTCCTGTTGAAATATTGGACCAATCTAGGATCTGATTGCTGATCTACAGGTCAAAATTAAGCAATGCGACGACGCCTGTCTCATTGCCTCCGATAAGTTTTTCTTAAGTATACCCTGTACACAAGAAAGTATTCAAAGGATAAATTTATCTCGTTTACACATGTATTTTTGAAATAGGAAAAAAACTTGAAGGAGTGTGTTATCGGTATGAATTTACAGGTGACCGGAAGTAAGCATTAACATGATCGATTATCACTAATTTTAAAACCTTTGGCGAATGATTAAACTGGCGATCATGTGAGAGAGTGCTTTTCTGTTTCATGAAACTACACTAGATGCCTTGATGACAACAAACCATATCATTTAAAAATGTAATAGGCTAGGCTTTACAAAAGTGCATGAGCATTTTGTCCAATAACATTATCAAATTTTAGTCATGCATTGGACACTGTTAGCTGGACAAGTTGCTAAACAACTTTTTTTTTTAGAGAATGTGTTTGAAATATCCAGTAAATCAGAAACAATCGAGCAGAAGTACTGTGGATTCTATTTTAGCAGCTCTTAGAATCGACAACAAGGATAATCCTGTTCAGCAACATCCAAATTTAAATGATGTCTATACTAATGATATCAAATCATCTGCAAGTCCATTTTGTTTCAACGTTCGTTCCACTGTAGAATCAGCTCCCCGTGGAACACTACTTAGTAATGTACGAAATCTAACACATCTGGAATATAGGAATGCCAACCAACGGACGACTCTCAATTCTTCGGACAATTCTAACAGCCTTCCTAATCAAAGTATCGATAATTCTTCGTATACAAGGTCGTGTGAATATGCTAATCCATATCTGGATGATGTAAATTATTACAAATACGAGGCGCATGAATCTTTAAACTTTTATCGACAGTATTCAGATTGTAATGACACCATCAGTCCTCCTTACACTCAACAGTATGAAGGTATTAATCCTTATCTAGATGAAGAGGATGGTACTGATACTAATCATCGACAATGGAATATGAGATACAATAATTCCCATTCCGGGCATCCGGATCCAAATTGGCAGGAAACTACTAGGCCTCCTTATACTGAAAATTGCGAATATCCAAATCCGTATTTAGACGAATATAACAATTATTAAACAGATATGTATTTGTTCCAGTCATATACTTTCATACCATTATAACTATAATACTTTTCAATAAATTCAGGTAAGAAAATAGAGCACGGAAACAGCAAGCTCGCATTTTCCACATGAAATCAGATATATCACTTTTCAAAATGGCGGAATAGAAAGAAAAGGAAAGTAAGTTTAGTCTGGCATATTTGAATAGACGCATAGTAAAGTATTCTAAAAGTGTAATCCGGCTTGTCCAAATAACGCGACCCTTCGCTGATTAAGTTGTTTTTTTTATCGGGAAATCGACAGGAGGCCATCACCAGACGTAGTTCTTCATGCTGATCGCGAATTCAGCCTTTATTCTGAAAAAAAAAATTGAATTTTCAATTAAAAAATTTTAATTTAAAATTTTTGAAACCTTTAATTTTAATTTTCTGACCTAGAGATTTTCGTAAAATAATTTTAAAAATATGAATGGAGAATTCAATTCTCTACAAAATGGCTCGTTTTGTTTTGAGAAATATTTCTCAGTCGAAGCACAAGAGCTGCTTGCAAGTTTGAACTTCCAACTCGATTTAGAAGCCTGAGACACCTTTTGAAACTTTGTTTACAAGTGGAGTATCTTCAGAAAAGCTAGAAGTACTCAAGCTATAAGTATGAAGTTGTTTGAAGAAAGCTGCGTGCCCTAAAATGATGTGACAAAAAAACGTGTAACAGTGTTACGTTTGTTTTTTTGCTTTTTTTACGCGAGTAAAAATAGTTAGAAGAAATATTTTTACCACTGAAAAGCTCGCTCGATGCTCTACAAAATTTGTTCTAGGAGTATTTCCATTTGGAGAACGAGGAAATTAGAACGTTAGCAAGAGCACTCCGAATTTAGGGTCTTTTTATGTAACAGCATAAATACCTTTCTCGAAGCTTCAGACTTCAACCAAAAAACTTCGGTTTTATAGCATACACAGAGTATGATGAACTGTGTCGAATGGCGTTTGAACAACCTACTAGCTCTCAAACTTTTAGAGATAATTGAGAAAAAGTGTGTCAAAAACGTAACAGCGTTACGTTTGCACCTGCAGTTAACGAGAATACATTTATATCATCCCCATCATTCACCACATCTAAAGCTCAGTCTTTAAGCCCCGAGCCCTCCGGGTCAGAAACCTATCTCGACCCAGGTAGGTCTAATCTGAACCAGACCTTTGCCTAGGAGTTGACTAAGCCGGAGTTTTGAATTTACCATTTACTAATTTCTGGTGCTTAATAGAACTTTAAAATCCCAAAAATTCTTGGAAAGTTTCTCAGAAATCTTCATTTCTATAAAAAACAGAAGCATACTTTAAAAATCGGACTCTGACAACTCCTAGCTATAGGTGTTATCTACAAATCAAAAAAAGAAAACTTCCTCCGATGTATTGTTACCGAGAATTCCTCTGCATGGCGAAAGCTCTGAAGCTAAAAAATAGTCTTAAGAAAAACACAAAATAAGTTTGGATTTTGTTAAATGCGTTTCACTTAAAAACTGTTTGAGCGTTAAATAACTTGTTGATATTTTGCTACGGGTTATCGGTCATGGTTTAATGAACATGTGCGCGGCCGTGTGCGGCACATGCGTGCGCTTATGCAATACAGGTGCAAAAAAAGCCATTTTTTGTTCTATAGGACTTCTGGAAAACTGGCTCAAAACTTATGAAAAACCTATCCTATCGACACGAAAATTGTGCCATTAGAAAGTAGACACTTTGGGCTATCTAGCCATGTGCTTTTCTCAAAATCAATAGTTTTGACGAAAATAGGCATGTCTGACCGGAGGAGGGGGGAGGGGCTTAAGAATGTTAAAAAATGCTCCAAGTAGAAAACGAACAGTTCCTTCTCCTCTCGATCTCAATGTCTCTAGAACTCTCTCATCGACGCTGATTCAATCAGACTTAACTTTATTTGATCATGCTATAAGTTTCTCTTCAAGAGATCCTCATCCGTCTATAATCGTTTCATCACCGTATAGAGGTATAGGTAGCATTTTCATGCCTATACGGTGGTACTGTATACCTCTATCAAAAATTTTATTTGTACGCTGAGAAAATAATTTTGCACTTTGAGTTATGGACTGAGCTCTTTAACAGAAAAAGCATTTCCTAATTGCGTGCGAATCATCACACTTTGCTTTAGATGAATAGTATAGGAAGAGAGAGTGAAGGATAGTTGCGATGCACTTACAAATCACGGAATCGATATAAAAGGACTAAGTTTTCCTTTTTTCTACTATTATTCAAATTTAACTTATATGCGATCTTAGATTTTTAGCATTTTGTGGCACTCTCCAGGAAAAAAGTAGAGTGTCACTTGACACTTCCGTTCAAATTAATATTAAAAATACAGTTGTGTACAGTCTGATCACCTCTAGTTTGACTATCCCCATTGCCTATATATATTGATTAAAACGTATGTCAGGCTTTGAGATAGTTGTATTTTAGGTAACGGAAAAACATCGATAACGCGAGAGAAGATTATTTCTTAAATTCTCCCTCATTTCCTGTTTTCCTTTTCATTCCGTTTTATTCATTGTTTATTTTTTACTTTAAACTGTTATGAAATCTGTATAATACTACAGTCTCTAACTGTTGTACCGTAGTTTTCCTTTTATCTTCTATTCTAGGAATATAGAGATACATTTAATGTCGGTGCAAAACGGAAACAGTTACTTTCTAATGCTAATTATTCACAAAACAACAAACATTTGAAACAATCCAGCTTTGTACAGTTATTATTATTATTTTTTTTTTTTATCCAGCTACACGTAAAAGCATCGATTACTCACTTCGCTCTCAAATATTTCCTCATTTCTTTCACCGCAAACGGCGTAATATTGATGACTTCTCTCACATAAAAGTTGCTTTTCTACTATAGTGACTATTCGCTAATATCTTAAGTCTTATGCCAACTTTATTTTATACTTACATCAGCATTTCGCGCGGCTGTATGATAATTATGGTCCATTATCAAGCGCCAACACGTTTGCTCAAGAGGATTTGATGGACTACGTATCCAAAAATCGAAATAGAAGCCGACATTTTAATGAGTTAATGGCTCATTCCTATAATATTGCCGTACATGTACGAAATACCTGCCAATATAACACTCATCACAATTTAGACATGAGATTTTATAAACTAATTTCTTTTCTTTTTTCGATTTATCAGGTCCTTTTTGTAGAGGAAAAAATATACTTTTAAGTGTCAAAGTTGTCCTGAATGCTACGTTCACTTGTATAAGAGGCAAGAGTTTATTGCAAATTCTTTGAATTCTATTAGCTAATATGGTGGATTCTTGGCCATGATATGAAAGAAGGAAAAATATTTTTCTTCTAGGCGATACTTTTTGTGGTTGTTTAGTAAGCGTTTTCCTAACGATGACTTCTCCGTTGCGTATTCCTCTATTAATTAAATGGTGCGGGTAGGCATCGATATTTCAAGTTTATTTAATTAATTTAAGTGTACGATCTTTTCGTTTTTTTCTTCAACATATGTGTAAAATACGAATGAGTAGTGTTCTAATTAAACTTAATTTATATTTCGGGGACCAATTACAATCAATCCCCGGAATATAAATTAAGATTAATTCATCGCGATGAATGAATGAATTCGCATTTTCGATAGTACCAAGTTCATTCATATGTTGTAGGTTCAGTATTCGATTCGGGATCTTATTTAAACGATCATCGACGGTAGTCAGATCAGTTTTAGTTTTATCAGCTGCTTTTCCTGTGGGTGGTAATGCATCACGCGGGATAATGTTTTCAGCCATAATACTTACCGGCAACTGTCAGGTAAGCATTATAGCTACGCAATCGCAAAGAGAACCAGTGGTACCCAGCATCATATTATGGTTTATTCGATTGAATGATGCTGTAGCAGAAATTCCTTGTGCTCAACTTTCCAGTTCACAAACACAGCTAGCAACTACGGTTAACAACTCCAATTTTGTGACACTTAATGATGTGTTACTCGCTAGCGGTATTACTCGAACTGGAGAACATAGGGCTATGGTCGTCCACAATGAAGCTGCCCTGTATTTTATATTGGCAGCAGCGCAAGTTGGAGGAAATAACAATGTATCAGACGGTGTTCATTTATGAGTACGTTTAAATGGAGAAGATATTCCGAATAGTAATACAGTACAGACCGTAGTCGATGGTAGTACTGCTGTACTTGTCAGTCAAGCTATTGTGAAAATCAAATCGAATGATAAACTTTAGATAGTGTACT